GACTCTGATGAATCTGCCCGCCAGTTCTGACTTACATACAGAATCAACTTAAGAACCCCAGGCATCCCCAAGTCAGCTGCTGCTGAAACTGATGAGCAGCTAATTCCAGGAAGCCCGGGGCAAAGCAGCTCTGCCTCGGGCTTCCTGTAGTCAGCCGCTGGTCAGTTTCAGCAGCGGCTGAATCGGGGACACCTGGGGTACAATATGTACCAGCTCCGACTTACATACAAATTCAACTTAAGAACAAACCTACAGTCCCTATCTTGTACGTAACCCGGGGACTGCCTGTATTCCCCTCTCTTACATCTTCCCTCTGCTCCCGCTTTGCTCCTCTCAGTCCCATGATCCTAACCCCTCAGCCTGATCCCCTGCATCGCTCTATCCCCCTCAGAGAAACCCTTGCACACCTCCTATCCTGCAGACTGATGGGCTGGGGTAGGCATAGCCAGGGGCTGCTTGGGGCTGGTTCCAGCCCAGCCAGGTGCAGGGGGGAACTGGGGAAGGGGAGCAACATGCCGCAGCCCGTGCCCCAGCACTCCACGGAGGTGGCAGCAGCTTGTGACTGGATGCACATCCCTGAATCTGCAGAGCAGCTCCAACCCCACCCCCTCCTGGAGCAGAGTCTGTAGTGTGAGGGATGTTAACCCCTTACCTCCTAGGAGCCGCACATCCAGGCTGGACAGGGGCAGCTCCTGGGACACGGAGCCCAGTTTGGGGTCATGCCACCCACTGCACCTGCTAGACTGCCTCACCCCCTACGCCACACTCACACCTCCACTTCCCCCCACTTGTCCTACCAGCAGGAAGCCAGAGCTAGTCCTCTAGCCTATAGCTGTGTGGCAATTACAACACTCCAGCCAGGGAAGCTGCACTTGCCACTCAGAATCAGCACACGGTCCCCTTATGGCATATGTCTCATACCTTTGATGTGGTTACACAATTATTCAATTAATATCTAACATCCCTATTTCAAAGCATGGAAACTATTTAAAATACTTATGGAGATGAAGTTGAGTCCAGCTTTCAATTATAAAACAGACTGTAAGTACTTCCCCCCATATCTCCAAAAAACCAAACCCCTTCGCATTTCACATGGAAAGCTTCATATCAGATTTGTTTTCATTTTTTATCCCAAACTTTCCCAAAAAGAGAGCTTTGGAGCTATATTTCAAAAATGTCCATGACATTCAACTTGAAATGGAAATGAAGACTAAGGAACCATTTTTTAAAGGAGGGTAAAGGAAGAAAATAAGTCAAATATGAGGACTTATCTAACTAAAGATGAAGAAGTCTATGAGAAGCATAGTGTGTTCAACAACAACAACAAAACAACAACAAAACAAAACACATAATGTATACCTCACACAAAAAAATACCACTTACTTACCACTCATTTTCAAGTGATTATTCATGGTTCTTCTGAGAAGATGGCAGAATGAGAGAGCTCTCTCACACACAGATGCGAGCGTGTGCTCACACTCAAACACCTTGTGCATACATGCAGTTCTGCATTCTGTAAGTACAATTTGACACTAGCCAACCTTAAAGTATTGGATGCATCACACCAACAAACAGAAATGAACTGATGAGAGGAAGGAGCCATTGTTCCAGCATAGATCTGTTTAGATGTATTGTAGCTGATCCTTCTAGAATTTGGCCAATAGGCTCAAAGGAAGGCAAATTACTGTCACTTCACCAGCATTCCCACCAAACCCTGTATGCAGACTGACAGACCTTTATTGGATGAGGAACTGACAGACATTGTGATGGACCGGGACCGGTCTGAGCACAGCTGAGGGCATCCGATCAGGGTGAATTGCTCAAACTTGGGGCTCCTTACAGCCCCAGACTGGAGACCTTCTCAAATAGGCCACAAACCAGTTACACCGAGCACTTCAGCTGCCAATCTGGCCAGCCAGAAGCCTCACAAGCAAAACCCCTCTGAAACCCTAGCTCTTCCTGTGCTCCAATCAGTCCCGGGCCTAACACACAGGTGAGGAGTTTTAGAACCCAATCTCACCCACCCTGAATGGGTTCCTCCAGTCCCAAGAAACCTGCCACAGTTCCCAGGTCAATTTACACTCTGGAGCTTACCCTCAAGACCATGCTGAGCCAATCCTTTAGAATCTAAAATCTAAAGGTTTATTATTAAAAGAAAGAAAAGCATGAGAGTAAGGTTGTTAAAGGAGAATACATTACATGCATCGAATCACCCAGTTCTTGATGCAGGCTCTTAGCAGAGATGTTATAAACTGCTGTCTTAAAAGTCTCTGGTGTACATCCTATGTCAGGATGGGTCCACAGTTCTTTCTGGCTCGTTGTTCCCTGCAAGGCTGCATCTGGGATCTGGAGCAAAACTGAAGACCAAGATGGAGGGTGCCACATGGCACTTATATACCTCCCCTGACATCTTCCTGGCCAGAACAGGTCACAGCAGGTC